TGTGTTTTAAAAACTTTCACCTTAGCTTTCTGTAGAATGTAACACTGTTATCCAACTGATATTTTTCTCTTCTTCCTTCTACAGTGGAGGCAAAGTGAGATTGACTCTTGATTATATAAAGAACTGCATAACATCAAGTTACTTTTACTGATTAGAAATCTTTGCCCTAAGTGTGTGTGTGTGAATGTGTGTTGAAGATGATAGCTCCACAGTAGTTTGATTGTATAACAGGTATCTTGCTTGTTAACCAAATCGCGTTGCTGTCATTTCAGGAACACTCCAACCAGTGGCCAATGGCCAGGTATGAAGTACATTCAAAGCTGAGCTTGTAATGGTACTAGCATTATTTACAATTCTCACATTGTTTTTGTCTATTTTTGCATATGCTTTCTTGCCTCTCTGCATCTTGAAGTTTTGCCTACATAGTAGAGTGTTGTCTCAGATCTTTGCCTAATGAGCCAAATATGAAGTCTCCTGGAGTTGCTAAGAGAGGTGTATTTTTCTTGATGTTACATCAGGTGTCTTCTAAACTTGTCTTTTTTAAAATCACTTTTACTACCCTCGTGGTAGAGACTAATGGCAGCTGCTCTTGTCATTGCGTTTGTGTCTGGGTAATGAGCTCCTTGTTCGGGGATTGTTCTGTGGAGTTCAGTGAGTCATGGATCGGCATGAGACCCAGTCCATCATAAACACTTGTGACTACTAAAGGACTATGGAAGGCTCATGAATTCCTGCTGGGTCTCCTGCCTTCCATTTCCGTGCCTGTTTCACTGCATCCATAGCTCCCCAGGCCTTTCAGATCATAATGGTCTTTCAGACCAAGATAATTATTTTGCCCAGGGTTACATTTTTGTCTTGTTTCATGGCCATGTTCTGAGGTTTTATACTAATCAGAGAACCCTCTGTGGATTGTATTTACCCAGTGGCCCAACAGGAGAATATTGAATTTTCCCAGACTAAGCTCTGCTAGTATTTTTACTTCTAGGCATCACCCCTGCCCCCAACACATACTGCCCACTACAAAGCTGCTTTCTTGAGAATGTTCTTGGTATATGGTATTTGTAAGGCTGATCTTGTTCAGTCAGAGATTTTAGTCTGCCAGCATCTTTGTTCTATGAAATTTACAGAGTGGCAGGAAAACAGCAGGTTTTGGGAAGTCTTTGCAATCTTAGTACTATAGTGTCAATTACTGTCTGATTTGGCAAGGGCGTTTTATGATATGTGAGGGCTGAAAGTGATCTTCAGAGTGATCACACCATCGTATCCCAAGCTTATGAAACCTGATAAAGATGATTATTGACCAGAGTTAATTGTTAGATGATGGCTGATGGGAAAATTCTGTGAACTGAAACAATCCCACACCTACACGTTTTTGCGTGAAGGGGTCAGAGTGTATCTGTAGGGAATGGACAGACTTCATCTGAACCATGTGTCCCATTTAGCAAGACTTACGCTGGTTCAGCCACTCAGCTGCCATTTGATGTGAACTACTGTAAGGCTCAGAGCACCACTTATAATGTATTTAAGCTGAAAGATATTCTTCTGTGTTGAGCGTGTATTCTTAAAGATTAGGTTTTTAAAAATTACAAATGGCACCATGGGGAAGCAGCCGCACAGAAGGGGGGTTCTTTACGTTTTACCTGGCTCTGCCTTGTCAATAAGTTACCACTACAATATTAGGGTCTGTGCTACATATAGAGGATCTTAAGGGGAAATGATGCATGGCCTGAATGGGATAGTGACCTGGAAAAAGAAGCTGTATAGCAAAATTCAAGAATTAGGGAAATTTGGTAATAGTTTGACATGAGATGAAACTTATTGGAGAGATGGGAAGCACTAACTTAAACGGCAACATTAAAACTTGGTTTCCAGGAAGAAAGGACTTGTCAGTGTCTAGAAGGCCTGGCAGCATATGCAGTTAAGTGTTAATGATACTCTAGGTGATGGGAATGTTGCATTTCTATTTCAGAATTTAACTTCCTATATTTTTTTTTTTTTGCAAAGCACATGATTAATTTGTTTCTTTTTTAAAGACAAAAAATGTCCATGTTATTAAAATGTCCACTTTTTTACAGATGGCTTATAATACATTCGACTGTATAATACTCCTTCATTCCCCAGTTAATAAAATTTTATGATCTCTTTAGGGATGTTTCTTGGAACTCTGTCTTTAGATGCTACATGGATCTCATGTTAAAAATATGGTATTTGTTTTGGAAAATTTCAAACACACACATAATTGGATGCAACCAGTTTCCGTGTAGGTTCTGCAGCCTCAGCCACTGTGTTAGTTGATTTCACTTTTCTCTACCATTGGGCTTCACTTTCTGTTTTGCAGCAAACCCCACATGTTACTATTTAATTTCCATAGAGCTTAGTATTTACATTTAAAAGGTGACAACCCTTGAAAGATCCAGTACCAGTATTTATTTACTGGGAGCAAGTAGGCAGTGGCTGTACTTCTTCAGTTGACACATGGTGACTGTTTTCTCTGGCTGGGTTGTTTGACTCTGGACCCAGAAAGGTTTGCTGCATTGTATAGGTTGCAGGTTGTGTGGTTAAGTGCATTGCGTAGGTTATGCGCTTGGTAGGCTCTTCTGAGCTACTGGTTTCTCCCTATCGCATACCATTTTTTTCCCCCCTGTAATTTTCATTGAACAAATAGGTCTTCATCTTGTGGAATTTCTCAATCTGCATTTTTCTGCTTACTGTCTTTTTAAAAAAATTTATTTATTGGAAAATCAGATTTACAGAGATTGTCCATCTGCTGGATCACTCCCCAAGTGAGCCGATCCGAAGCCAGGAGCCAGAGCCTCCTCCAGGTCTCAAGGTAGAGGGTCCCAAGGCCTTGGGCCATCCTCGATTGCTTTCCCAGGCCACAAGCAGAGAGCTGGGTGGGAAGCAGGGCCGCTGGAGTTAGAACCAGCGCCCAATATGGGATCTTTTTTTTTTTTTTTAATAATTTAAGCTGTTTTATTTATGCAACATGAGCACAATTCACATATTTCATAAAATTTGGAAGCATAGTGAAACTTTCCAATCTCCACTGCACGGGCACATTTCAGTTCACTTTGCAATCACAAGTTAACACGTACTAGGTAAACAAACAAATAGCAAATAAAGTAGAAGAAAACCCATTTTTCTTTGAATACACACAAAATCTATTAACAGTAGTCAAGTATCAAAATATCAGTGTTGCTCACATAGGTTACAGTTTTTCTGTGCTTTGTGTATTAGTTACCAGAGTCCAGGGAAAACATATTTATCTTTTTTAGGCCTGGCTAATATCACCAAGTGCAATGGTTTATAGTTTGATCCATCTTTCTGTTCTTTTTAATGGCTAAGTAGTACACCATCGCATAAAGATTTGATTAATTAGGCAGTGAGAAAAAGGCAAAGTGAGTGTATTTGGAGAGTTCATTGCTGAGGAACAAAGCACCAGTCAGAACGTCTAATCCTCACTTGAACTTGTATGTGAGCACATGTGTTGTTTCATTCATTTGTTTCACAAATTTTGCTGCTGAGACACAAAAGGACTAGGTCTGAAAGCAACATTTAAAGTACACACCATTTACCTGTTCTCAGTTTGAAAGTATGATTCAGGGTGACGCATAAACAAAAATGTCTGTACTAGTTTGCTAAACTATGCACAAGGAATGCTATATATGTTTATATTTGCTTTATGTGAAACATGCTGATTGAAGGAGACGTATATAGGGCTGGGATTGTGGTGCAGGGGGTTTAGCTCTTGGCTACAACACAACCATCCCTTAGGAGCCCTGGTTCAGGTTGTAGCTGATCTGCTTTAAATAGCCTTCTTGCTGATGCATATGATAAGGTACCAAAAGATGCTCCAGTTACTCTGGTCACTGTGACTCATATGGCAGAATTTCTGGCTCCTGGTTTCACATGGCCCTGGTCTGGCCTGGCCAGAGTGGCTGTATGGGGAATAAAGTCTTCACTCGCAGCCTCTGTCTCTTCCTCTGTTACTCTGTTGTTCAAATATTCATCTTTTCACCTTTCAAATACATTAAATACATACGAGGACAAAAATGTGCATCTGCACACACACATCATCGTCATCATTATTTATGCTAGTTCACTCCCCAGCTGACCACAGTGGACTGTGCTGGACTGGGTTGGGCCAGGATAATGCCTGTATCCTAGAGTTCCATCTTAATATCCAATGCATCAGGAGCCCAGGCAATTGGACAATATTCTACTGCTCTCCTAGGTACATTAGTAAGGAGCTGGAACAAAAGTGGAGACGCCAAAAATTGAACTGTTCCTCTGATGGGGATCACTGACTTTGGAAGCAATTTAACACACTGCCATAATCGTGCCCAAAGAACCTTTAGACAATAAGGGAATTTGCCTTCCTTCCTGAAACTGCCTTGGGCCATCCTCCATTGCTTTCCCAGACCACAAGCAGAGAGCTGGATGGGAAGCAGGGCCGCTGGAGTTAGAACCAGCGCCCATATGGGATCTTAGTGCATGCAAGGCGAGGAATGTAGCCGCTGAGTCACCACACTGGGCCCTGCTGTCTTAACTTTCTAATACCCAAGACTGGAAACATTTCTAGAACACCTCCTAGCTAGATCTTCATTAAAAAGTGTAGAACACATTTATGGAGTATTTATCTGTAAACTGAAAGAGATTTCATGTCTAACCTACAGCCCTTTGCATTAAAGACTTTTAGCCTTATTTAAACTAAATCATGCAGCTGTTAAGATTGAAACAAATTTTTTGTAGATACCAGTTACACATTTGGGCAGGAACTTCTCAGCTTTTATTCTTGATGCCTATGGAAGAGTTCATCCTGAAAAATGACACTGGTATAATGGGTATAGGGGTGCTCTTGAAATATAATTCAATATTCTCAGGTTGGTCTGTGAATTTGCTCTTTTTTGTGGAAGCTGTGTACTTTTTTCTTGAGCTCTGCGAGCTACAAAGGTCAAGGATTCCACTGCCTGCTTATTGATTGTGTCTAATGATTGCAGGTTGGAGATGACAGCGATGCAGAGTCTTACGGAGAAGAGAATGAGGAGCAGGGAAATTATTCTAAAAGGAAGATCGTCTCTAACTGGGATCGATATCGAGACAGCGAAAAAGAGGTCGATAATGAAAGTGGAGAGTCTCAGAGGGGCACAGACTTCAGTGTCCTCCTCAGCTCTGCAGGTACGACTTCCAGTGGCACGTTGTGAACGTTGCCTAGATACCCGTCTTGCCTTTCAAAATGTGCTTTTATAACTGGGAAAACGGGCGAAATGCGTAAGATCTGTTATTTCCTTATAACTGCATATGAATTTATAGTTATCTCCAAGGGTATTATTACCAGGGTAAAGATTTAAAGGATAAAGCTATGAGAACAGAGATACAAAACGAAAATATTTTCAAATAGTTTTGAATTCCTCTTCCCCACACCTTTATGTTGCTGTTGGACTCAGCTTTTCATCTGCCTGTGTTTTTTGAATGCTGGTACCAGAACAGTAATCAGAAGGTGATGCGTTTCCTCCCAATACTAGGGGATAAACTTGTGAGTAGGAAAGAAGAATGTTAAGTCCTGAGCCCCAGAGCAAGGTGTTCAGTGTGGTATCACGATGCCAGGATTAGGTGACACATAGAGCCTAGCCCCTTCAGATAGAGGTTGGGAGATGACATTGGACAGCTGGATTCTGCCAGGGTTGGGAATGCTACATTTGTGTCAAGTGAGTGTTGCTACCTTGTTCCCTGTGTTCTGCCTGCTTATGAAGTTTATAAGCCATTTTCTTTCTAGGTGGGAGAATGGAAATAGGATAAAATGTGGACTGATGAGTTTCAGTTCTTACTGGCTGTCCTGCTAAAAAAAAATGTAGGAGGAAAATTGAAGTAATGTAGTGAAATTAGCTTATGTATTACACGTGGTTGGAATTCAATTAGGTCTATAGTCAATTAGGACAGTATTTGGTAATCAGGTACTACATAAATGCAGGAAATTAAAAAATTCTAACATAACAGATGTGTCCGGTTTGTGATTCTGGTGATGGATTTTGGTTCCGTGTGTTGCTGCTGTTGTCCGTGTTTGCCCCTGCTTTCTGAAGTGCCTTGTTTCTCTGTGATTGGTTTATTGGAAGCCTGTGGCCATCCCAGCTTTAATATGTGTGCACACTGCTTTTCTGCTCTGCTGATGTCTCTCTCGGTTCTCAACACAGCCTGAGTTGTCTTCATGCATGTGGCAGTGTTGGTAATGCTGACTTGAGAGATTTCGTTCTTTGAAAAAAATTACTGAAATGTCCTTAGGTTGCTCTCCTGCTTGGAATGAACTGATTTTCAGAATATTGTCCTTATTTACTGGCTGTGAAATGTCATACTTTTCTAGGTTTTGTGAAATTGCTCCTCAAAGTAGAGATGACTTGGAGTTCCTAGTGTTTCCCATGCTCCTAATGTATGGTGCTGTTTGCCTTTCAAATAAATCTCTACAATTAAAGTCTGACTTACAGGAGGACAGACAGGTCTTTCATCAGCTGGTTCACCCCAAATGGCTGGACCAGGAGCTCTCCCTGGGTCTCCCAGCTGAGTGCAGGGACCCAACAGTTGGGCCATCCTCCTGTGCTAATGCAAGCCAGGTGCATTAGCACAGGACTGAATCAGAAGTAGAGCAGCTGGGACTTGAACCTGCTCCCATATGGGACGCTGGCATTGCAGGTGCCAACTTTACCCATTATGCTACAGTGCCGCTCCCCCACCCCCATCCCATTCGATTTAACTGTGACAAGTTGATTGAATGGTATCTGATTGTGGTTCATGCAATGAATATCGAAGTGGCTCCTGTTTCCAGGCATGGTTTTTAGAGGCTGGTGATGCAATAGTGAACGGAACAGACAAACACTTGCCTCATGGAATATATTTAGAGGGTTGAAACAAAGAAAAGGAAAGCCCAAAATGGTGAGTGGTGATGATAGATTAGGGCATCAGTAAAGTGAGAAGAGCTGTTAAATTTTAACAGAGGTTGAAGAAGGTTGCATTGAAGTAACCTGAGGAAGGGGAGGGAAAAATTGAAGTGACTTGCAGGAAGAATGTTACAGGCAGAGGCAGCAATAAGTGAATTACAGGGAAGGGCAGAGTAGTAGAAGCAAAGTGAACAGTAAACAAAGAAAGAGTGGTTTGATGTGCTCACGACCAGCTATTTATGCTTCTGCCTAATGTGTTAACATGGTGTCTAGGTTCAATACTTGTCTAAATTTTTTGATTGAAACGTAATTATGAAGTGTAATTATTTGTTCCAGTCTAATTTCTCTAATACCTTTTTTCTTGACTGTTATCCAGCAATATTTGACATAATCTCTTTTTTGAGAGGCTTTCTTTCACAGCTCTGGGTGTAAAGTCACTGATGTTGAGTCTGTTCAGTGACTGCCAGTGGTGCTGTCCCGAGTCTGTCTGTCACGTCAGCATTTCCCTCCACCCCAGCAGATGCTGCCGTGTGCCACTGAAGGGTGGACGGTGCCCTCCCTGTGTGGTGTGATCCAAATCTTTTCTCAAATGAGGCCTGCTTGCTTCAAAGTATGCTTCCTACTTTGTTTCTCCTTCTAAATGAGCTGGGCCATGCATCTGCTTCTGACTCAGTATTTTTGGCAAGAGCACACCTAGGTTAATGTGTGTGTTCTAAGGAGGATTTCCACCGCAGCAGTGAATTGCGAAGGCTGGTGATTAGAGTGGATTCCTGTCTCTCACACGGTTGGCGTATGCTTATGTTGGTGTTTTCCCTTCACAAGGTAGTTTGCCTTTTCCCAGTAATGCTGAAGATGCAGCCCTGACACCCTGGAGGCTCTTTACGGATTGTGGGGTGTGTGCAAGGGTGTTTACGACTGCATCCTGTGAAAAAGCCAAGAATGGAAGCTGCTCAGGTGGCCATGGATAAGAGTGAATAGACTATCAGATGGATGTTTTCCTAACATAATAGAGAAAAACACTATATATTCACAGAATGCATCAATATAATTCTGTTTGCATTGAGGAAAAATACAGAAAAGTAAAGCACTGGAGTTGGTACATTTAAATGATAAAACTAAACCCAAGGGCATGGTCATTGTGAAGGTCAGGATGGTAGACAACTGTAATGGGGAAGTGAACAATAGTGTTTGTGGAGGGGAACAGAACTGGTGTGCGTGTGGTGGGGGGTAGGTCACTTGTGTGTGGTTGGTGGTAGCCGAGGTATTGGCCTGGATGCTAGCTAATTGTGTTGCTTTAACAATTCTTTAAATTGTTAATATGTATTATCCATTAAAATAGATCTTAAAATCTCCCAAGAAAAGTGACATCAAAATATTGAAATGGATTTCTAATGCTAGAATTTCAGTTGGTACCGATGACAAGGAACCGTTCAGGGAGAAAACACCTTTTCCTGCACCCTCACCCCAGGCTATGCAAACCCTACCATTGGACTTTCTGGCCATGGGCAGTGGTGTTCTCATTTTGCTGTTGCAGTCGGTATGAGAGGTAGGTGATTGGCTTGGCATTGTATCTTTCTGGTAGCATTGGGCGTGTAGCTGTCCTCCTGGAGGACATTCATTCCTGTAGGGCAGATATTCATGCCTCGGTTTATCTTTTTCAATGGTACTCTTGGAGTTCTAAGTTGGGCTTCAAGAGCTGTCACTGACAGATCTTTAGGCAGTTTCTTCTGCCCTTCACTCTAATTTTTTTTCAAGTGGCGAGTCACTGAATTCATGTCAAGTGCATAGTCTGTACAAGACGTTGCTGATAATGAGCAATAGGAAACTTTGTGGTGTGAATAGAATGTGCTGGAGGAAAGTTGTAGATACACGTGGGAAAAATCTATGTGCAAGTCTGTGGAACAAATGAAAATATTTAGGTTACAGTTAGGTCAGCATAGTTCTATGCATATTTGCATTAAACTTTTAGATATCTTTCAATGTAATGTCATGAAAAGTTGATTCTGGGGGAAGATGACAGTAATGAGCGTGAATAATTTGAAAGAGCAATTAAATGTTTTCCTGGCAGCTGTGCTTTTCTTTTTTTTTTTTTTTTTCAAGATTTTCATTTGAAAGGCAGATTTACAGAGAGAAGAGACAAAGATCCTCTATCCACTGGTTTACTTCCCAAATGGCCACAACAGCTGAGCTGAGCTGACCTGAAGCTCCTGGCTCCTAGCTTTTTTTGGGTCTCCCATGTAGGCACAGGGTTCCAAGGACTTTGGTTACCCTTGCTTGCCCTTTCCAGGCCCCAAGCAGGGAGCTAGATCAGCAGTAGAGCAGCTGTAATAGGAACCATATGGGACGTCGGTGCTTGCAGGCAGAGGATTGGCCTGTTGAACCACCGCACCAGCCCCAACCTGTGTCTTTAAGACCTTGAATCTTGTTTTCTGCATTTTGGGATGGTATTTGCCTTCACTATTGGCTCCTTTTTGCTGTATGGTTCGTAGTTTGTAGTGACAGAGGCTCCTATTACAAAGGCTATTTAGAAGAAGAGGTTCCTTTTTGGTATTTGAATCATCTGACAAAACAAATAGAACTATGCTCACAAAGTATAAAAATTCATTATGATAACCAAAGTTCAGTCTTTCTTACAACTGGATACTCAAGTGGGCTTAGCTCAGTTTTTTCTATTTTAAAGCCTCAAAGATAACGGCAGTTGCGTATCAGCTGTTTGAACGCTGCCCTGTTGGTGTTCAGCACCATTTGGTATGCTCGGCTGCCTGCCGGCTCTCTCTGGCTTGACTGGTCCGATTGCACCTTGTTCTTCACCGTGGTCTACTTCCATTTCCTGGCCCTGGAGCTGCCCTTGGCCTGCAGCAGACCCAGCCTGGGCAGCCTTCTTTCCCCTTTCCATTTGCTTTCAATCTGACAGCACTAGCTGAGGGAGTCATTGCTGATCCTCAAGCTTTCTGATTTTCTCCTCTTCTTCCTCCCCTCTTGTTCTTTCTTCGTCTCCTCCATGGTCTTTGGCTGTAGGTTTACTGGATTGGCTTAATTTAATGTTCAGCTTCTTTCCCAAGTACAGTTATTCCCCACTTCTTTGAGGAAAAGGAAGGTGAAGGGGGTGGGAAACGTTGCCAGCCACTGCTTCACTCCCTAAGTGGCCTAAGTGGCTGCAGCCGGGAACTCACTCCAGGCCCCTGAGGTGGGTGACGGGAACCGACCCACTTGTCATATCCCAGGAGGTAGCAAAGATGGCTCATCAGC